TGACAACATGTTAATTTTTTTTTCATTAATTTATATAAAAACTACAAAAAATAAAATTTAGTTTTAATATTAATTTTCAAATTTAGATATTAGCAATCACTCGTAATATAAGTATACACCAGAGACTGATTACATGGTAGCTCATACTTAGGGCTGTTACTAACGGTTAGCTTTTCTACTGATATCCTTGTGCTGACAGCTGACTTTTGTAGGTAATGTGCGGTGCTATTCGGCAACCACTGGAAAGATTAGTGCTAAGGTAAGAAAGCTAGAAATATTATAACGTGCAAACCAGGTTTTCGAAATGATTTGCTTAGATGATTGATTTGTGGATTTCAAGAGGGTGATGGTTCACACAGGTTCACCTAGATGCATGTACAATAGACGTGGCTGCAAGGATCGAACATGAAAGACCATTCAACCTGGCTGTTCTAGATTGATATCAGATACTCTCCTTGACCTTTCCAGTTCCAAAGTATTCTTCAGTATTCTATTGAAGTAAATGTGCTAATGACGTTAATATTTCATTTCTTATATATTAAACTATACACAGCCATGGGATATATGAGATCATTCCCTTTCTCTTCGTAACTTTTATTATTATTTGAACCAAGTTCTTAAACATAAGGTGGATATGAATAAATCATTTACACTTCTTTTTTTAAGAACAGCATCAGAAATGTGTATATAGATCAAATCCTAAAGCTTTGTTTGGGTTGACGGCATACGCTAGTTCAAGTATATTCTACCACCAAGGAGTCCATCCAGTACAGCTAATATCTTGAAATTGAATAGGGATCACAAAGATAAAAGTGAGCCTTTCTAGTATTGGGGGATTCATGGATCAAAAACCAATCTGCCTATATAACACATTGTTTCAAATGGGCTCACCAAATAGCACATTCAAATATTCTTTTTTTGTGTCCATTACCTATTTTCAAAATATATATATATATATATATATATATATATATTCTTTTCTGTGTGTGCAATTAAATAGAAAATAATCAAACTCAAAAATAAATCAAGCAACTAACAAGAATAAAATGATCACATCCACAAAATCAAGATAGTAGTTTTTTTAATGTAAAAAATCCTTAAGGGGAAAATACCACTGGAACTAGTCCAGTAGAAAACATCTGCTAAAAAATATCATTATTACAAAGTTTAATCACTGTTGATCATAGAGCACACCATAACTCTTCTACTAACCTTCCTGCTGCTGTTGCAACTCACTCTCACAGTCTACTATTTTTTGCAATGTTGATCAAAACCAGCCACTTGCTGCCATTTAAAGCTCCACTGGCTTGATACATTCAGAGTCCAAGCTCCATGCAGTTTATGTATGCCTTCATGAAGAGTTTTCTCAACACCAGACGGATGGATACATACAAATGAAGAATCCTGAAGAAATTAGAAACTAAAATGGTTGGTTAACATAGTTGAGCATGGCATAAATTAGTCTAATAATGAGTTCTCCTACAACTAACAACTTGATTTAAAATTTTAAAATTTGCGCATGTTAAAAGGATTAAAATGTGACAATGCACCTTGAAATGACTAGTGCATAATGCTGCCTCAAAGCTTTACTCCATCCACCTTTATATGTATCCTCAAATTGTCCTTGATTTAGGGAACTGATCAAGAGAAGTTACTAGAAAAACTCAAAGAAAATCCATGTCCTGCAAAAATGAATTCAAGCTTAGCATTGTCTTGATGAAATGATAGAGAATCACTCTGAACAACTGAGGGATGAGAAAGTGAATTCTGTCTTACCAGAGAGGGCATTCTTTGGATGGTAGAAGATTATAGCTTCAAGCCTGCAACTCTGACAGAATTGTGAACACCACCATTTTTTCATCAAGTTGTTAGATCTTGAAGCTACTTTGCAAGTCAGCCCATTGTTAAGTAAAGCAGCGGATAATTAAAGTAACAGTGTTTATGCTGCAATCTTGGCTATGACTTAGAATGAATAAATAGAGAACGCAGCACATATCGTTGTATCATTCATTAATAACTCATCATACTGGAAGCATCATCTCACACATGAAAGGCAACATTAATGTCAAAGCATCCAGCACCTACTTGTTGAAGAAAGATCTTGCCTAAAAAGAGAGGCTTGAACTTGGAATCTTCTATTAATCACCTTTTAACTAATCCTGTAGTTGACTTGAAAAAGGTAAAGGGTTTAATCAGTTGCTATAAGATTTAAGACATGAACTAAGTTGGACGTTGCATAGTAGTAGGGAATCAATCACTAAAATTAAGGGAAATGTGAGATGAATAAGAAGATGGGGATGGAAGCAAATAAGGGAACGTGTGGGAGACTAACTTCTTGATATCTAGCTGATCTCCATGCATTGGAATAAAAAATTAAGATAAGAAAAAAGTCATACAAATTGCTGTTAAAACAAATTCAAGACAACAAAAATCAACTAGAATCGAAATGAGCAAGCACATGACCTGTTTTTTTTTTTCATCAGCAAATGAAATTATTAAACAGGGTACAAGCAGTACCCCTACACTTTAGAGTATGCTCATAACTTCCGGCACATAAAAGGAAAGAGGGAGTCACAAAACAAAGGGATCCTACATAGGCCTAACAAGATTTTGCTATGTGCTCTGTACAAGCAGCTGGGAACATGAGAAAAAGGATGGGAAATTAGAAATAGGCATCACAATAAAATTTTAAAGAGGTAGTTTGGATATCATAGATAGCCTGACATATCAGTTTGGATTCCTTGTCCTAAACAATAACAATAGCAAACCAAATATGCATCATAATAAAATTTTAAAGAGGTAATTTGGATACTTACAGGGTAAGTTCTGCTTTCCCAAATAAAAAACTTGTAAAACTGCAGCTTGATTTAGTCAGATTACAATCACTCATCCCCTTTGAAATCATCTGAAAGGGTAAGCCATTTTTGAGGTAAGTCAATGCATGCATGTTTTCAGAGAAAAATAATTTTTAATAAAACTGATGAATCCAAGGAATGAATGAATTAAGAAGTAACATTGAGGAGTAGCTTGGCTGTATTTACCTCAACAATTGGTTGTAGCTAGCTCTAGTAGTTGACCTGCCCAAAAAGGAAGTACAAGTTAAAGAAAAGTGCATCTATATATATATCATTATAATTTTTCTACATGAAAAGCATAAAATAGTGATGCCCGTTTTAGTTCACACTAGCTTTTATTACCTCTTCCCAATCTATCTGAACGCGGATGCCACGGGTGAGATTCCAATAGTCTCCTTTCACCTCGAAGTGCTGTTGTTTTAGATGGGGACACCCCATGATGCATAGTTCTCCAAGCGAGGAAGGGAAGGCTTCCCTTGGCAAAGATCGTAGCTTCGGGCAGTCAGCTATACATAAGCCTTTAAGGGAGCTTAGGTTTTGGAAGAGGCCCCCAGGTATGGATTTCAAATTTTCTTCATTCCTTATCATAAGAAAGGGTAAAGAAGAAGGTAGCACAATATCCAGAGGGAATTTCTGCTCAATTGTTAAGTTTTGCAGAGACGTAAGGGTTTGGAGGCCCATCGTTAAAGCCCCACCTGGGATTGTTAGATCCTTAAGCGATGTGAGCTGGTATATTGTATTCGGCACAAACTTGACATTCTTACACTCTAATAGAAGCTCTGTTAAGTTTGGGGGCAAACCCCCATCTGGAATGAACTCGATGCTGGGGCAGCTTGTCATCTCTAGCTTTCGAAGAGCTTTCAGCTGGTACATTGTACTCGGGAGGGATTTGAAATTCTCACACCATCCTATTGTCAAATCCTTTAGATTGGGGGTGCATAACCCCAACTCTTCTGGCAAGAACTCTAAAACTTCACAGCTGTGAATACATAATTTAACGAGACTGCTGACACGATCAAGGGTGGATAAACTTTTCAATATTTTACATTTGTTAATCTCAATGGATTGGAGTCTCGTACAATGTTGCAGCATCCTCTCTGGAAATGATTCTAACCACTCGCAGCATTTGACTTTAAATTCTGTGAGAAAAGCTGGTAACTGATGACAACCCTCGGAAGAAGAATACAAACATGGAAGATTCCCTATTTTCAAATTTAGATTGCTATTATTATTATTATCACCATGAGCATCCGGTAGAGACTCAAGACCTTTACAATTTGCTATGCTCAAGGATTTAAGCGTGATGGGTAATTTTCCTCTTGGAAAAGACTTGAGAGAATCACAATAAAAAATTTCCAACTTTTCCAATCTCGACATCAACATACTAGTGTTGCTGCTACTGCTGCCATCCATCCTCATCATCATTGCATCAGGTAATGACTCCAGAGCTCCACAATTCACAAGGCTAAGATGTTTAAGATTGAAAGGCAAGGGGCTTTGTTCTATTTCTGCCCCTTTCTCCCACAGACAAGTAAGATCATTGCAATTTCTAATACACAAAGCCTCAAGTGTTGTCAAGGACCGTGTAAAACTCTCGGGCAAGCAAGTCATATTTGAAATTCCCAACAAACTCAAATAAGCCAGCGATGTAAGATCACCCATATTCTTCAAAAGCATAGCACTGCAGTTGCTAACATCCAACTCTTTAAGTGAAGAAAGGTTGCTAGGTAATTGTCCTAACAACTTAGGACAAGTTTGAATCACAAGCCTACGAAGACAAGGGAATTCACCTTCACTTCCAGTTGGAGAAATCCACTCCTTCCAATTTAACATGTTTTCAAACCCCAGTTCCTCCAGTGATGGAAAACAGTCTTGTCCCCCATAAAACTCAGAACCTACATATTCTATTGCCTCCATGCCTCTAATAATCAATTTTTTTAGAACAGGTAACCAGCCAAGTGATGGTAATAATGTGCATCTCTTACAATTGCTGAGCTCCATGGATGATAAATTCAAAAATAATAATGGATCACAAACCCAGTTTGACAAACTCTGGCCACCATAGCAAGAAATTTTGAGACTCTTCAAATTTGAATGAGGTTTTAACCAACTGAGGACTTGCATTTCGAGGACCGATTCATCTTCGTCATTATTAGGAGTAGTCCACTCCAAGATTAATTCTTCCAGACCATGGATCTTGTCTAGGTTGGCCTCCCTAGCATCATGAACATCCAAAACATTCTGTAGATCTAAAATAGACAGTTTTCCTTGAAGTTGCGACAAGTTCTTCAAATAAGATAATCTCATCGTTCCACTTGTCTTCCCCACAATAAATTTGGACAGTGTTACAAGATTTTTAAGATTGCCTATTCCTGACGGCAACTCTTTTAAAGATGGCGTATCAGTGATATCAAGATGATGGAGATCAATTAGATTCCCAATCGTTGTAGGCAACTTAGTAAGCTGAGAACAACGAGATAATAACAATGTTTGCAAGAAGAAAAGAGAACCCACTAATTCAGGTAGACACTTGATTATTGTAACAGACAAATCAATGTATCGAATGTGTTTCAAATTTTCAAAAGAATCAGGTAGCTTGTTTATCATATATCCGCAAAGAGATACCACTCTTAAGCGATTTGAAGTTGGTAGGAAATCATGCAAGATTCTGTTAAACAAATAGGCGATAGGGCGATAATTGTGCACCTTTAATGGCAAAAATGTTCTCAAAGGCTTCAATTTATCCAGGACTATGAATCTTTTTGGGATTTCATAAGGGTGTGGAGTGAATGACAAATGACGAGCCTTCTTTAATTTTTCATCATTCATGCTACGTTCAAGATTGCAATATATTTCTCCAGCAACATCTACGGCTAAATCATTTATGAGGTCATGCATCACAAATCGTGATTCATCTCCACTTGATTGTTGAAAGAGTGATCTTGATAACAACTCTTGGAAATATTGATCACCAATCTTCTCTTCCATTTGCTTCTTTCCATGTGACTGTTGCTGTAACAGGCCCTCAGCCATCCATAACAAAACCAACTTCTTCTTGTCAAATTCATAGTCTTTAGGGAACAAAGCACAATAAGCAAAGCATCGCTTCAAATGAGAAGGAAGATGATTGTAGCTCAATCTTAGAGCAGGAAGAATTCCACTTTTATCTTCTGATGGACTCCATATCTCACTGTTTAATATATTTTCCCACTCATCACGATGGAGCTTTCCCCGCAAGATGCCACCAACGGTTTTTAGTGCCAATGGCAATCTTTTGCACCTCAAAACAAGCTTCTCACCAACATCTTGTAGGTTTGGGTGCGCATCAAAGTTCTCTTTCCCAAGTGCATGTAGTGTAAATAATGGCAAACAAGCATCATCTTGTAGCAATTCTAACTTGTAAATGCCATCATCTCCTCTCATCATCATGCCAACATCCTTATTTCGAGTTGTGACAATTATTTTACTTCCAGGAGCTCCAGACATGAAAGGTCTCTTCAAGACATCCCATTGGCCATATTCCTTATTCCAAACGTCATCCAAAACAAGAAAAAACTTGAACCCTGATAAATTCCCTTTCAATTCCTCTTGAAGTAAATTGAAATCATCAAAAACACACTTTTTCCTAGTTACCTGTTCTAAAATGGTTCTTGTTATTCGAGCAATATCAAACTCATCAGAAACACAAACCCATGCCTTCAAGTCAAACCTGCCTTTCAGTTTGTCATGATTGTAAATAAGCCGAGCAAGAGTTGTCTTCCCTAGTCCACCCATTCCGACGATGGGAATAACAAAGTCTTGTTCAAGACTACCTCCATCTTCTAGCAACCTTTGAAGAATAGCATCTTTATCACTATCTCGACCCAACACCTTGTCCTCAAGAAGTGAGGACTCAGGTAATCTTTTTGCAGCTACTTTGTGAGACTTATCTTCAAGTTTCAAAGCCAAATTGGCTAGGTCCAAACTACGCATCCCATTATCAATTTTCTGCAATCTACCACTCAGATCATTCACCATGGAATCGATCTTTGGATTAGGCTTAGCTCTAGATCCAAAAAAGACACTGGCGAAGAATTTTTGAAGCTTGTTGGGCCTGGCCTCAGATTCTGCACTCAATTCGGACCTCTTGGCATCAATCACAAACTCTTCAAGTATGTCCTCTATATCATAAGCCAAGTCCTTGAGATCATCAATATGTAACTTCACGAACTGGTTGGCAACTTGATTTTCTTCTGCATGTTGAAGTACAGCAGTGATTTTGGGTAATAGAATCTTCCAGTGTTCCATCTCTGGATGTACTTCCTC